TCAGTAAAAACGGCTGTTGCCACCTCTAAAATAAAAAAATAAAAATAAAAAAAATAAAAAATATAGAGAGGGAGACATGACTTCCACAAACTCAGCCCATGGTTAACTCGATCATTCCGGATAACCGAATGACGAACGGGTTAACAACATGGAAGGAAAATCAATTCTCAGTTTAGAGAGTTTTTGACCCTAGAATTACGAAAGAATAAAGGGATAAAAAACGGCTTGAAGAATTGAGGCTTAGAAAATCGGTGCCCATGGTTAACTCAATCATTCCGGATGACCGAATGACGAACGGGTTAATTCCATGGAAGGAAAATCAATTCTTAGTTTAGAGATTTTTTGACCCTAGATTTATGTAAGAATAAAGGGATAAAAAACGGCTTGAAGAATTGGGGCTCAGAAAATCGGTGCCCATGGTTAACTCAATCATTCCGGATGACCGAATGACGAACGGGTTAATTCCATGGAAGGAAAGTCATTCTCAGCCAACGACTGGGAGTTTGACGCTCAGATAGTCTCACCTCAGCGGTTAATATGAGAATCGATTCTGGAAAACCGAATGACGAACATATTAGCAGTTTGGAGGGAGCCATACATTTCAGCAAGAGTTTTGACCCTGTAATTACGCATTGATGAAGGGATCAAAATGGCCTGGAGTTCGAAGGACAGTGATTCTCACCTCAGCTTGTTAACACGTAGAATCATTCTGGATGACCGAATGACGAACGGGTTAACAGCTTGGAGGGAGCTGAGTCGTCAACTTAGCCAAAGTCGACCGTAAGACTGTAAGATATGGATTAACCGAGCGACGTTCGGATAAGGTACGGATTGTCGCCCGGGGAATCGGAACTATGGTTTTGAAAAATCTCGCCTCAGTCATAAAACTTGACTTGGAAGCTAGTCGCCCTTTTAACTATAAGTAAGAAATGACCCAACTTCGGTGATCTTGCTTACAGTTCGAAAAGGGTTACCTCAGACCCCTAATATGGATGATACGAGCCAGAGGAAACAGTTCGGAATGCATCAGAATTATGGGTTTGGAAGGGAGAGAGCCTCACCTCAGCTTGTTAACACATGAAATCATTCTGGATGACCGAATGACGAACGGGTTAGCAGTTTGAAGGGAGCCCCTATCCCAGCCGAGAGTTTGACCCTGTGGTCACGATCAAAACGGCTTGGAGGAATTCATCTCAGCTAAGAGTTTTGAACCCGTGCGTCACGAACAGGAAAAGGGATCAAAACGGGTTCGGGAAGGTGTCAGAACAATTGTGAAGAGAGTCTCACCTCAGCTTGTTAACATGTGAAATCATTCCGGAGGACCGAATGTCGAACGTGTTAACAGTTTGGAGGGAGCCCCTATCCCAGCTGAGAGTTTGACCCTGTGGTCACGATCAAAACGGCTTGGAGGAATTCACCTCAGCTAAGAGTTTTGAACCCGTGCGTCACGAACAGAAAAAGGGATCAAAACGGGTTCGGAAAAGGTGTCAGATATAAAGATACATGAGCCGAGTACGGTTCGGCCACGTAGAGAAGATTGTGAACAAAAATCTAAGGAAGAATAAAAAATACGTCAGACAAAGGAAAAAAGTTCAGTTTATTCTTCGGCATTACTAGCCGGAATGTACAAGAGAAACGAATATACAAGAAAAGAGACAACAGATAAGGAAAGAAGGCTACACTACTGGAGGATCGCCGTTCGGGGAGGATGTAGGCTGAGAGCTCCCTGCCTGCACTGCATCGTCAGACGCTGCTTTGGATCTTTTCTCCATGACGCGATCGTACGTATTCCCGAACAGATCATCGAAGCCTAATTCATCAGGATCGAACGGCTTGGGGAAACGCTCTAAGATCAGTTCGAGATTCCTATCCAGAAGCAGGTCCTGACTTTGCTTTACGGTTTTCTCGGTCAGGACATCCAAGAAAGATTTCCCTTCCGGCGTGCTGTCCAGGAGGTCGATCCCTGCCTTGATGGGATCTGAGCTCTCATGCAAAAATTGGCCAAGGTGAGGACCTAGGAATTGCCGGGCCGTGTTCTCCAGAGCGAGGTTCAGCGCCTTGCCCCGTTGGAAATCCACTACCGATTGCTGAGCAATCTGAGAGGTATTGACCGTGTAGGGTTCGGGCAGATGATCTCCGACAGCCTTATCAAATTTAATGCCAGCAGATTCAGCAGCCCGCACCTTGGCCCGGAGTTCTTTGAGCTCCCGGTCGCGACGACGGGACGTCTCCTGCATCTCGACCAGGGCAGCTTTTGCCTTCTCACCCTCTTTGGCCTGCTCCTGGAGGTCGGTCGCTAACTTCCGAGCGGCGGAAAGAAGGACCTGGCCGTCATCCCGATCACTGGCCAGGGCTTTCATCTCCTTCTCAGCAGCAAGAAAGGCTTTGTGATAATACACGCCAGCCTGAAAACAAGGTTACAATGAAAGTCAGAAAAGGTAAAGCATGAATAATAGAAAGATATGGGTCGGACTGAAATGTACCTTGAGTGCTTCCTGGTGACCTGCTTCGAAAAGGTCCGACCAGTGAGTCAAGTTAGTGAAGCTCGGGGGAACTTTGCTCGCAGTATGACACCACATAGAAGATGGCATCAACCCGAACAGATACCTCCCTTCTGATCTGGGCCCCATATTTGAGAACTCAACAAACATCCGATCATCGATCGGTGTGGCAGTAAGAACCGGAGTTTGTTTGTTGGCAGGCACTGATCTTTGGGGCTCAACCTCCGGCCCGGTCAAGTCAACCACATGGTCGATCAGGATCAGGTGATCGCCATCATTTCCCTTGCGCTTTTTGCGGGTTTGCTCCGCCGAATCACGATCGGCTATCATCTTCTCTTTCCCTTTAGCAGAAGAGATAGAACGCCGGACGGGTATGGGAGAGATCACACCTACAAGAAAGAGAAATAAAAAATGAGAAGTTGAATTGTGGGAGCGAAGGATGATCGGGTTAAAACCCTACTATGCTTACCAATCCCAGCAGATAACATGCTCGAGGCAGTGACAAAGCTGCGAAGACTTCTGGTCCCTCCCATTCGCAAAGACTCAGCCTGGAAGCGTAGAACGACATCCACCCTGGGCAGGGAATCCCGAACAGGGTATGCGTTCCACCTGTCCGGGAATGGCAAAGAATCACCTACCCGAACGAACAAAAACCGTTCTTCCCAGTCAGCCTGCGGGGTAACGTTCTCTGTGAACAGCTGACGGTCAGAATGGGCTACCAGCTTCAAGTACCCGGTCGTCCAGTAGGGCTGATAGCAGTAATGATAAAGGAACAGATCGACGCTCGGGGTGATCCTCAACTCGTGGCACCGGATAATGAAGCCTGTCAGAGTACGGTAAGTGCTGGGCACGAACTGAGCGGGCAGTACAGCAACCCGGCGTAAGAACTCCACTATGAATGAGCGGAGAGGGAACCGAAGTCCAGCAATCAGAGCATCAAGGTGCACTAGCACGTACCCCGGTCTGTGCCTCATAGGGTGCCGAATGAATCCGGCATAGTATTCTCTTGGTGGGGGCAACAGCTGGCTAAGTTGCCGTTCAACATCTTCTGGGAGACGTCGTTTGTGTTTGCGTATGCGATTGAAATGTAGGGCAATGCGGGGTGGCCGCTCGGGCATCCCCTTGTTGTAAACCTGGAGGTCATCTCCCGACAGACATCCATCCTCCTGCGGCTGTTCGGTATGTTTGCTGACCTGAGTATTGGCGGGTTTGGGTGTTTGGGACGAAGAGCCTTCGGCCTGGTTACCAATGGATGTTTTGCTTTTGCGAATCAAAGGCATCTCTTCAGATTCTGAGCTAGAGGAGTAGTACATAAAAACGCCGGAGGAAATTTGGGAACTCTAGAGAGAGAAGGCTTGAGAGTATGCAAAGGAATTCTAGAGAGAGAAAGCTCGAAAGAAAAATGAGAAAACAGCAGGAGAAATTAGGGGAAGCACCTCTCTATAAATAGGGAAAGTACCGCACAACTCCCTAATCCATGAGCAACACGTGGCATTTGGTGGTTACGATTAAATTGGGGCATTTATGTTTCATTTTTTGTGCACGTACCCCGGACGGGCTTACAGAGGATTAGCAAAAGTCACAGGGGCTTGCTGTTTAGAAAAATGCTAAGTCCTAAATATCAATCTGAAGCCCGACCGGCCGACAGTATTATAAAAGGTTATCTGGAAGAAAAATGCTAAGGCCTAAATGTCAACCTGAAGCCCGACCGGCCAACAGTATTGTAAAAGGTCATCTGGAGGAAAATGGCTAAGTCCTAAAAATTGGTTTGAAGCCCGACCGGCTATCAATGTTATGAAGGAGCCCAGGCGCAAAGAAAACCGAGAAAACTGCTAAGTCCTAAAATTTGGTATGAAGCCCGAACGACTAAGTACCGGGGGGAAGGGGTTTTTTCCTTTAAATTATCAGAACTGTCTAATGCCCGAACGGCGATCAACGGCATTAAGAATATTTGAGCAAGAAGTAAGTTAGGAAATTGCTAAGTCCTACAAAACAGGCCGAATCCCGAATGACGAGTAAATCATGCATTAAAAACAGAAAAGACAGCACAGAAAGTTTCAGGCAAAAGAGGGATATATATTCGTCGGTTCTACTGACCGGGAAGTACAAGCTATTTAGAGAAAAAGAAAATTACAACAAGTAATGAAAAAGTACATATGAATTATTGACTGGGGGCCATGTCATCTCCCTCTTCATCCTCATCCTCATCATCATCAGATGGGGGTTCAGGCTCTTTTCCCGCAGCTCGATCAACTTCCCGTTGCTGGGCTCGCAGATATTTCTCGAACTGCGCCTGGATGATGTCATCTTTGGGGAGATCAGAGGCCTGAACCGGTCTCCCCAGTTGATTTTGAAGCTGAGTGACGAAGGGACGCAGCAAGACCTGGCCAATTTTGCCATAAAGATCGGAGACAATGGAGTCGTTCCATTTCTTGGCCTCCGGGTCCTTATCCAAGAGGGCCACCCCAGCCGATAGCCGACCGGCGCCTTTGGGGAAATCCTTCAAATACGCCCCAAAGGCGAACGGGATTTGGGCCCTTGCATGTTCATCCTTGATGATGGAGAATTCATCGGAGGATTTAAACATGTCCCGGACGGCGGACAGATCCACGTTCACTTCATAGGGACCGTCCGGGATACTGGATGGCAGTTCTTCGAATCTGACCCGTGCGGCCTCAGCGGCAAGGATCTTCGCCTGGGAAGCTGCGAGTTGGACCCGAAGGGTACCGACTTCAGCATCCAGCCTCTGCTTTTCCTCCGCAAAGGTTTTCCGTTCGGCCTCCAGAGAGGCGATGGCAGCAACAGCATGTTGCTCAGCAGAAGACTGGGCAACAATCAGTTCCCGCTCTTTGGCCAGGCGGGCCTCCCGCATCTGAAGGGTGTACAAGCCCATCTACAGAATACCGTTCGAGAATTAGTGCTGGTTACAGAGAATAAAATAAAGACAAAGCACAAAAGACAATATACCTTCAGAGCAGTCAGGGCCAGACATTCTTCAGATTGCTCGACCGGCAACTGAGGAAGGGAAAAGTTGTTGAACCAGGAGGAGGTAGACCAGATCTGGCTCGCTGTAGATCCAGCCCTCTCTAAAACCTCATGAACAGGGTCGGATAGGGAGATCCGCTCGACCTGACCCGTAATGTGGTCGGTATGGGTCTCACCAGCATTCGAGGATTCCCCCCGAACGGAGTCGAAATGCTGGGAAAATTGGTGCAGTTGGTCAGAACCGAACCGATCATCAAGCAGCATGGCCTCTAGTTGATCCTGGTGGACCTGCTGAATTGGCTGAGGTTCTGGGAGCGGTTGGGAAGGGGCAGCCTCCTGAGCGGGAACAATGGTGGGAGTAGGTTGGGGGTTCTTCCGGGATTTTTTCCGCTTTCCGCCCCCACCGGCTGCGATGACTCTGCTATCATCCATGGGAAGATCTGGGTTGGGTGCTGAAAAAAGGCAAAGAACAATGTTAGTATCGAGCGGCCCTAGCGTGTGAGAAACTAGAAAAAAGAATGAAAGAACGTTTCTCGCACGGGAAGGACCGCCCGGACCAAGGCACTTGGTTTATCAAAACAAGTAAACCCAAGAGAACGGGCAGTACCTATCCCGGCTGTTATAAGTCGTTCGAGGGTCAGATAATTCATGATGTCCATGCATTTATCCTTCTCCACAGCAAGCACGTCCTTGTAGATTTCTTCAGTGAGGACAGGATCAGGGGTTTTGCGGGGAAAAGCATTCCACTTGCGGGGAATCAGACCGTCCGGGATGGACATGAAGAAAAACCGGTCTTTCCACCCTTTGATCGAAGTTGGGTTTCCTTTGAACAGGATGTGTCCCGTTCGGGCACTAGTGGCCAAATAGCCTTGGGTTTGTTGGGGGGCTACTTTGAAAAACTGGTGGAAGAGTTCTAGGGTTGGTCGGGCGCCGGCATCTTTGCAACGACAAAAGAAACCCGCCATTGCTCGATAAGAGTTCGGCATAATCTGGGTCGGTACAATTTCGTAGAAATTGAAGAAAGAAATGAAGAAAGGGTGTAGCGGAAATCTAAGGCTGGCCCTAATTGAGTCAAAGTGGACTATGGTCATTCCGGGCCTATGACGCATTGGATGAAGCCCGGCTTGCAAACGGAAATCCACCGGGTCAGGGATAAGGGCCGGAATTTCGGCCCTATTGTGAGAGGTCAATTTTTGCCTCCTCTCCCTAATCAATTTTAGGTCAAGAGTATGGCGAGGAACATCGTTGGGACGTCCGGCCGCCATGGAGGCTATTTCGTCCTCAGATTTGGTGTCATCAGAATCCTCACTGGAGGAAGAAGAAGTGCTAGGGAGGTCCTCCGCCTCAGCCCTGGTATTCGTCGCCGTCTCGGTAGAAACACCGGCAAACGGAACTGGGATGGCATCTACAATGGCGGTGTCACGGTCATCTCCATGAGAGGCCATCTCCGAATCAGAAGAATGCTCTGTGGGGCTCATCTCGATCGAAGCCAGAAATGAAGATGGGGAATCCAAGGTTGGGAAATTACCTGAGCAAAAAAGCAGGGGGAAATTTGCAGAGGAAACAACGAAGGCCAAGGAATTGCAGAGTCGAAACCCGGAATTGAGGAGTTAAGGGCTAATTTATAGCCTTGAAACCGCCGTGTCGAGAACCAATCAGAGAGCGACACATCACTAGGGGCATTTAAGCTAGACACGCGTCTAATGAAAAGACTAAACGACGGTTATCATGATGAATATGGGGAAATGAAGCGGAAGCCGTCAAATCGCAGCATGGGGAACTGATTACTTCTGTACCCCGATCGCCATTCGGGGTATTATGACATTGGTATACTTCCTGATGCACTCACTTCGTTCGAGACATCGGAAGTGGGGGACTTGTGTTGGGATATTGACCTAGAGGCCCAATACCCAGATCGGGAAGGCCCAAGATATCCGGCCCAAGTAACAGGTCCATCACTCCATGATGAAAAGATCCAGTAAGGAGGCATGCCGAACGAGGTTCGGCCCAAATAAAGGTTGGCCCAGTAACAAGACATACCGAACGAGGTTCGGGCTATATATCATACTTGGGCCAATTTGACAGCATCTTCAGTACAGCTCAACATCCCGTTCGAGCAACGGCCAACCAGCAAGTGGCCAGGTGCAGTTAATGCCAGACTATGACATCAGCAAGTGGAAGCATGGATGACCAAGGCGGTGGAACAACGGCCAATCAACAAGAGGCAGCCCATGCTCTCCATTAGTATAAATAGAAGATTTCAAGTCATTTGTAAGGGTTAGCATTTCAATACTCAAGCTCTAGAATAGCATCATTTGCTCTTATTTCTTGTATTAAAGCATAGTTTCCGACTTACCGGTCGGGAAATCCCTTGTAATCAGATTGGTTAATTAATACAAGTGAGCTTTCGAGTTTTAGTTAGTTCAGATCTTATATTTTCTTGTACACTTTGATTCTGGGCCATCCCTGATATATCCAAAGTTCGTGTTGGGCTTTCGGATCTACGGGACTTACCCTCAACAGGTTCGACAATTGGAAGACATCGTACAACGATCTCCCAAAACTCTTACGAGCAATGGCGTATACTAACTTAGGGAGCATAATTGATCTTCAAATTGATAACACCAACACCCAAGCTACATATGAATTTAGATTTGCATTTTGGTCAATAAAAGTGGCGATTGATGGGTTCAATCAGTACGAAAAGTACAAGGGTCATCTCTTAGTCGCGGTGTCAATGAATGCCAACTGTGAAATCTACCCTCTAGCATTTGGTGTGGTAGATAGTGAGAATGATGCTAGGTGAACATGATTTATACAATTGCTTGCGACACAAGTCATAGGACTGCATCAGAATGTTTGCATCATCTCTGATCGGCATGCGACTATATATTGTGCATTTCAAAATGTGCTAAAATTGGGACACCTCGAATTTAGAGACGATAATGCCTTCACCACATTAGAAGCAATTTCATGTCCCAATTTAAAAGTAAACAACTAAATAAGTTATGTTGGCGAGCAGAAAGTATCCCAATTCTAAGTGAATTTCATCATTTCATGCAACAAATTTGGGGTACTAACGAGAGAGCATTCAAGTATTAAATGATATTCATTAAGAAAAGTGAACACTTTGTTTTGATGGTGGTTGCCGTTATGGTATTTGAACGATAATTCTTTCAGAAAGTTTTGAAAATGATCTCAAAGTATGTAAGACATTGTCCATTACTACCGTTGTACGAACGACTTTTGACAAACTAGTACAACTCTTCGTAGAACATCGTAGTGCTGGTATGATGTGGCAGCAAATCAGATATAATTTTCCGGACAACATTCGAAAAAAGATTATAGAACGTTGACAACAAAGACGTCACACTGTGGTTCTTCCATACAACCACTACACAAGAGTTTACTCAATCGCCGTAGAAAATGCAACTCCTGTTACAGTACATCTATCGAGATGAGTTTGTAATTGTCGTTGTTGGAGGATGATCATGCGTCCATGTGCATGTTGTCTGCCATTTTCTTAAGTGCCCCATTGATCAACTTATTTCTGAGGTATACAAATTGAGTTCTTATATAAATGCATATTCTAGTGATATTATGCCCTCACCGAATATGAATGAGTGGTCGCGAAATGAATTTATTCTTCTACCGCCTAAATGCTCATCCAGAACTCCTTGAGCAGGACGCCGTCAAGAACAAGATTTCCAAATGAGATGAATATGCATTCAAAACGTAGAGCACAACATGGTTGATTTATATTTGTACCGTGTTGTAGTGTATTATTTCTTTTGTTTGTAGTTTGTTTTAATGTTGAAACAATTTTTAATAGTCACATGTTTTAAAATGTACCTTTAATATGTTATGAACTTTGTTTAATTTTGAGTTTATATGACTTAATGGGTCAAATTCTGTTTAAAGGCGTGATATTGTAAATTATATTTCTAATTGCTTTCGAGTTAATAACACTGAATGGGTCTAGTATTTTTAAAACTCATCACATTGTTTAAATCTATTGATATTTTTATTTGTGCTTTGTTATTTTCGGGTTCACGTTATTTAATGGGTAGGGTTTTATTAAAATGTGTGGTATTCTTTAAATGTAACTTTAATATTATAAAACTTTTGTCAATATTCAGTTTAAGAAATTTAATGGGTCAATTTTGTAAAACGTGTGCTTATTTAATTGAATGGGTCAATTTTTTGTAAAACACATATTCTTGATTGAATTCGGGTGTCAAACGTGTATTCGATTTAAATGACAATATTGTACAATTTTTAATTATGTTGAATAAGTTATGAATTATATAACATATAAAAACAATTCCTTAAAAAACAAATAAAAACAATCATAAAAAATAAAACAAATGATGTCAACAATTCGGATAGGTGTAATCCAAATACCCATTTGCAATATTTTTTCCGGATATGTGTACTTACCGGCGGCATTCTAAATAAATACACACACACAACTTTGGAGGGCTGAAATCTGAAGCTAGTCTGAGAGTACGAGCAAAACACAGTTTCGGACTTGACACCTCCGTTTTGGAATGAAATGTTACAAATATACACTTATCTGTCAAACAACATCTATAGAACACTCTGTCTAAATTGTACTTTCGCATTGTACATTCAACCGATGTATCTCTCTTTTGGATAACTTCACCATTTATATTTTTCAAAATGTCTATATATCAATATTTACTCACTGCACTATTACTTAGAAATTTAACTATTCATTGAAACTCTCCAAGACGTTTTAATGTTCATTCACAGGCATATATTAGCAAGCATGGTTCATGCCTTTGACTTCCTTAGAAAGTTGGAGCAATAAGCTCAAACAAATTCAAAATGGGATGTAGTGCTGTAATGCTCAAGTTTGTACTCAAGTTTGTGCATTCCAAAAGTAACATGGAGCAATCTCCCCATCCTAAATATTTTCTTTATTCTGATTAGGCAGCTTAGGGAGAAAGACTTGAATAGAACTAAAACAAGGCTTATGAACGGAAATAAGACTCCCAACTTTTTAAACCATAAATAGGACTAATTTTTTAGGGAAGGACAAAAACACCCCTACACTAAAATTACGTTGCCTGCACATACGGATGGTTCATTTACATCGTTGGTAATCAACAACATCCGCCGCCTCATGGATGCCCAAGTCATCGTCGTCCTCTCGGTGTCCAAGGTTGTGGCTACAGCTTTGCTCGTCGTCCTCTCTCGACCATTTCAGGTTGAGGGGAGGGTGATCGAGGGGATAGGATACACAATCATGGAGTGGCGCGCAAGTGACAGTGCGGCGGCGGCGGTG